ACACCCATCTTGGCCCAAGCAACGCAACAGCCGTATCATCACAGCAGTACGGTCAGAGCAATCCGACCGTTTCACCACCAGTGCAGGAGTCGTTGTTTTCATTGGGCTCTCACCCTCACTACGGTTCGGCCAATCCACCGGCAACGCATACGCACCTTGGCCAGACCCACGTCGCTCATCTGGCGTCAACCAGTTCGGTCATCCCGGCCGAGCCCTAGTTCAAGTGGCCCAGCAAACAAGGCCACAGAACGAGGTGCCACAGGTCACGCGGCCGTATGCAGCCCAGCAAGAGGCGCCACCTCAAGGGGTCCGATTCGAAGACGTCCGGCGGATGATCGAAGACGGCCTAGCCCAAAGGTGGCCGGATGTACCGAGATACACGAGGCCGTACCCTTCAGAAATCGACCGAATCCCTCTTCCCCGGAACTATCGTGCTATTCTCCGAGGATGGGCAGACCTCCTCCATTGAACACATAGGCCGTTTCACGGCCCAGTGTGGGGAAGCCGATTCGGACGCCCAGAAGCTATGCTTATTTGTTCATTCTTTAACCGGCGTCGCGTTCTCATGGATCATAAACCTTCCGCTGAACTCAATAAGGGATTGGTCTGATATGGAAAGGGCGTTCCACGAACATTTCTATCAGACCAACCGAGAAATAACAGTCGCCCAGCTGGCAAAGATGAGCCAGGCATTGGATGAATCACCTTGCGATTACCTACAGCGATTCAAAACATGTAGGAATTGGTGCCGCACGAACCTACCAGAGAGGGAGTTCGTCAAGATGGCCGAGGAAGGCTTGGAATTTGAATACCGGAAGAAATTCCAAGGAAACGAGTTCCGGGACATGCATGACTTGACCAACAAGGTGGACAGGTATGCGTCCTTGTTGAAGGACGAGATGCAGAAGAAGCCGGCCTCAAAGGGGACCTACTACAGGAATCCCATCGTCAGCTACGCCGAAGCAGACGGCTTCGCGGAGGCCGAGGGCGAGGAGGTAGAGATGAGTTCAGCCGAAGTCAGCATAGACAAACCCTTCGTTTGCAGAGGGCTTGTTAAAACTGACAATAGCCGCACAAAAATCCCCGACGCTAAGTTCGCAACGCGGGAAACGAAGGCCTACACTTTTGACTTAACAAGGGCCAAGGCTATCTTCGACCTGCTATTCGCCGAGAAAAAGGTCAAATTGTCCTTCGGCCATAAAATTCCGAAACCCGAAGAGCTCAAAGGGAAAACGTTTTGCAAATACCACAGTTCTTGGTCTCACAACACCAACAACTGCGTTGTCTTGCGAGACGTTATCCAGAAATTAATAGACGAAAAGAAGCTCTAGTTTCCGGAGAAGGCGGCCATGCAGGTCGACTCCAAGCCGTTCCCTCCACCTGTCGTCAACATGGTCGACGCCCAACTCCCAGCCGGGTATAGGGAAGTTCGTCGATCGGCGAAAGGGAAGGAGCCACTGGCCGAATTAGAGCCGGCTGTTTGTGCCTGATAAATCACGGCCACGAGCTGGCCGAAGGAGCCCTTTCTTTCGGCCCTGGCACTTGTTCACAGAGGTTGAAACGCAGCGTTTCGCCAGGGTATGTTCGCCTTCCTTAAAGAATTAACGAAGAAATGCTAAGGCATGATCATCTCGGCCTCAAGCATAGGCG